GAAGGGTTAAATTTGAGGTATGTCCGCCTAACTGGCATTCCAGCTCTACTGTGCCTCTTCCAGTCGTAATAACCTTCTTTCCGCCAGGTACCTTGAGTTCTTCTTTATGCTCTTTGTACTCTCTGAACATTTCGCGTTCAGTGGCTATATGGGAGGTTGTTCCGGAGTCCATGACCCAGTCCTTCCGTGTGAAGGGGGACTTTCGGCCGGCTCCTGCTGTGGCTGCTGTCTCAACAGAATCTTCCTCTGAATGAGAAAAGATGTTGAATACCATGTCGAAGGGGCTGTCGCTTGAATCCTCGGCTGCTTGGTGAGCTTGTTCCTTCCCTTGCTGTCTATTCTTTTGCTTAGGGCCTTGACCAGCGGCTCCGCCACCAGCTCTCCAGCATTGTTCTTTTGTATGGCCTGTTCTCTTGCAGTTAAAACACTGTACGTTGCTTCGATTCCTAATTCCCTTTCGATTTCCTTGAGATCCTCCTGCTAACATCACTTGTCCTCCAGTTTTGTCCTTATTCCTGCGTCTCCATTCGTTCCGAACGAGCGATTCCATCTGTGTGGAGTTGACGTCGAATGCTCCTCCTGCAGATCGACCGATATAGGCCGTGGCAAAGGCATCCCAGGAGATAGGCAGGGAGGTGAGCATGATGGCGGTATAGATCCAATCAGGTATGTCGGCATTTTGTCTTCTGAGCTGAGACTGAAGTCTTCTGATATCTGTAAGGTGTTCGTCGATATTGGTGTCGTCGTCCGCAGTCGTCCTAAAGAGTTCCCGCAGGTCATCGATGATCGTCCCCTTTCCACCCGTCTCTTTCACCATAATGAGTGCATCCCACATTTCTTTGGCAGTGGTAGCGCGGTCTACATGGACCATTTCGTCTTGTCCTAAGGTAAGCAATATTTGATCCTGTGCCTCTTGATCCTTCTCCTCCCAAGCCTCGATCAGGCCCTTTTCAGTTTCGTCAGGCTCGTTTACTTTCGCTGGCACTGGTCGCGTTCTTGTTCCATCAATATATTGGATTAGTTTGCGCCTACGGAGGACGGCTTCGGTTTTCTTCTTCCAGGCCAGCCAGTTTGTCGAGTCAAGGAGTTCAATTTTGTAGAGGTGAGAGTTATTATCGGACATTATAGACGTGTAGAATGATGATTAGAGGGTTTGGAAGTTGTGTAGGGCGACTTAGAGCTCGTCAGGGCTCATAACCTGTCGCAGTGTGCGTACGAGGCAGCGAGCTCAAGAGTGGGACGACGGGAAGTAGATTAGAGAATGTATATAGAC